GATTTTACCTTAAATGGAAATGTGTATATGTTCATTCAGCTTTGGCTTGACTGCTGTTCTATGTTGGGAGGTTTTCAGCAAATGGGCTTTGTTGCAGGGTCTGTTTATTCCAGTAAGTGCTTATTAAATTAGTTGATTATTTCAGTAATGGATTAATCACGATTAATCGTTCCAGCCTTGACTTTAGACAAAGGAGTCTGCAACTTTTATTTGTGACTCTGCTTCTACACACCTGAATCTCATATTTATAAGTTGAGTTGATGCTCAGGAGTTTGTATTTTTATTGATTCAGGTGTGTTGGACCAGGGACACGTCAAACAGCTGGAGGACGTTGTCCAGAGAGGACTGGAGTTTGACACTTTTCCAGGCGGCACTAAAACCATCTAGAAACTGCAAAGCACTGGAGAAATCCTGAACAACTGTCTGAATGTGACACAGTATATGACTGGAGTTATCTGATGAAAAGATTCATCGCGCTAATTAGCATCTTATAAATACAAGGGATGATTTTGCACCAGTGGGATCGCTAAAACAGGAAAAATGTATCATAGAGGATGTATTCCGGTTAAAGAGGTTTAGTCAGCACAAAGCATGGGATTCCTGCCAACTTAATTTTTTTGACAATTGCAGAGCCCATAATAGCCCTCCGCTGTCCTCTCCGAGGATTATTGTCAGCAGCCCTGAAAACTCCCTGGATAATGTAGCGGTGAATGGGCTCCTTTCATCGGTGCTCGGCCATGAAAGTGGACCGGAGTGACTCCAATTGAAGGCTATTACGGCAAAGAAAATCAATCGGACAAATGTACAGAGCGTGGTGAGGGGCCGTGTGCGCAGCGCTGGAGGGTGGGAGGCATTTTCTGCATGATATGCGCCGACTTCCAGCCGCATACCTCTGGAAGACGGGCGGAGAGGAGGGCGAGTGCTCGCTGGCAGGTGGATGTGCAGTGACATTAAACGAGCTCTCCAGGTATGTGGACGCAGTCTGCAGCTGCTCTCACACATCATGTGCATTCCTGGCTTTCCTGCGACTACGCATGCGCCGATTCCTGGTTTCAAGGTACACCGAGATATGGAAAAGTCACGGTTTCTAATTTTCTGTCACACCGTTCCTGTGGCGTTTTCTACGTCTGGTCAGAGATAAAGTGGAGGGAAAATGAGCTATTAGCTCTGCAAGTGCAGGCAAGTCCCATAAACTCCCTGTTTATTAAAATAAGGTTCGCTATAAGCTAATACTTCAGCTAACGTAAGAAAACAGACAGAGGAAGAATGTTGCCCTAAATGCATGTACAGGAGGCAACATCTCTATTTGTTGAAGTCAAAGTTTATATCGTCTTGAAATAATGACGGCGGATTAGAGTCACTGTAGATATTAACATTTATTTAAAAAGTACAATACATTTCTTTTTAAAACTCAGGAATTTTCTAGAATAAAAATTGGAAATATCCAACTTTTGAACCTTTTTTTCTAGAATATTTTCCAGATTAATCTCAGAATATCTGAGTATATATGAGACGCACTATACAGTAAGACTTGTCTTACTGTATAGAAATCCATTTACCATTTAGGGTTTCTGCAGAGCGTGGGTCGGCACCCACAGGGCTTTAGAGTTGATTAAAAAGAAAAAGACATCAGATTGATTAATTTTTAAACTGGTTACTAAATCATAATGGGAGCAGAGGTTCTCGTTTCTTGGTTGAACTTTGTTGCCAGAGTAGATTTGCAGACAGAGCACAGAAGCTAAATTGTTTGATGCAGAAGTTTCAAACCACAGAGGAGTTCAGAAGAAGAACAGAAACTCTGCGCTGCATAGAAAATTAAAAATAGATTTTTCAGCGTCTTTCTTGTTAGAACAGAAATAAAATCTCGCTCTGATGCTGGAAATGAAACAACTAACAGGAAGTGGTATTGATCAAAGCAAATCAACTGTAAAAACAAACAACAGTGGAACAGAAACTCCGATTTCCCTGAACTACAGCCGAATCGATGATCCGATCGGAGGATGATCCGAGGAAGACGTGTGACCCGTAGGGAGGCAGGGCGAGGCGCGGAGCAGAGCTAGGCCAGATCACAGATGACGCCACATCTCTCCAGGGGACAGCGGGATGGAGGCAGCGAGAGAACTGGGGGGCATGACGAATGGAAAGACAAGTGCATGCTTGTGAAGTTTTGTTCCAGCTCTTTCCCATTTTACGAGTTAGTCTGAGGTTTTTTTAGAGTTCACGCCAAGTTCAGGGGAAAAGTCTCTTTCCCTCTCAGCGAAACGGAGCTGAAAACTCCTTATCAGCGCCTGCAGCTTCTTCTGCGTCTCCAGCTCCCTGACAGAGCGCGCTGAAATATTTCTGGCCTCTGCCTTTAACCTCAGCAGCAGTTCGACGCAAACACGCCCTCCAAGAACAATGCCGACAAGTGTTGTTATCACACGTTCATCCAGGCTCCGAGGAACTCAAAGCCGAGTCTCTCCCGAAGGAGTCAACCTGACAGTCAAGTTCAACTCTGTGAACCCGGGACGACCCCGCCCTCTGCATGAAAACATACCTGCCGCTTACAGGTGCTCAACTAAAGGGGAGGTGGCGGGGGTTCATTAATTACCAACTTGACAAAACCGAGACTTCCAAAATTAGATGTAATTGGGCGTCCCCTGGGGGGCCAGATAGAGACGATGCCACTAACGCCTGCAAATTAAAGCTGTAATTAACCCGATATGACTGATTTATTTGCACCAAATCGCTTTATAATTCAATCAAAGGTGTTGCCTCACATAAACTACGCAGAGGGAAGCCTGAGGTCCCTCTCATGTTAAAGACTGTTTCATAGCGGAGGGCTCCCACGGTTGACTTTCACTTAATTTGCACTAAATACAGGGTGCAAATCAGACGTGTCCGTGCAGATCCTTGCAAAGGCTGCGGTGCTCCCTGTTAGCGGAGCGGCGAAGGTAAAAGAAAGGAAAGTAGGGAATGAAAGGAGAGAACGCCGAGCTGAGGTCAAGCTGCGAGACCTACAGGTTCAGATTCAGGACTACAAATACTACCGCTCTAAAACGATTAATCGTGACTCCTCTATCATTAACTGTGATTCATCATGATTAATCACGACTAATTGATTGTTGAAATAATCATTAATGAATCTAGTAGTCAATAATCTTCAACTGGAGTATGCCAACCCCCAAAAAGGCCATTTGCTGAAAAAATAACATATTTACATAAGTTATTCAGCCTAAGATGTACAAAATGCAGAGTTTCCCCCAGAAAACTTGCTGATCATGGCAGAAAGGGTGCTAGGGATGTTCACCACCGGGTTTTTGGAAATAAAAATAAAGAAAATACAGCCGTAAACTAAATAAAACTAGTTTTTCTGTCGGTTGTGTATAACCAAATGCCATTACTTTTGTAAATAGATCATTTGTCTGCTATCATCTGGTGATAACAGGTAGAGTGAGTTGAACATGTGATTAGGACAGGTGTGTATTTTCATTGATCTTCTAGTTTTGTCAGCCCTTACAGATTGCTGATTGGGCAAAACTGCACATTATTCATGCTACCACTGCTTTGTTGTTGTTTTTTTTAATGAATTTCACATTATGTATGTTTAAGTTCCCACATATTGCATGAGGGGAAAAAAATTTTGCACCGGCTGTTTACGGTTTAGTACAAGGCATTGATATACCCCTCAATATTGACACTATCAGCTTTCCGTACATTGGTGCTATTATCCAAATGGAACAAAAGGAAAGTTTAATAAAGATATTGTTTTCCTAATTTAAGATAATTTTAAGTTGAATTAAAATTATCTGAATGGTTAAAATTTTTTAAAAGAACTTGCTTTCAATACATTTGTAGGTAAGTGAGGCCACTTGCAGAAAGGAACGCATATAGTTTTCACTTTGACTTTATATATGGTTCAAATAATCATTTATTTGTTTTACTGCTAGCTAACAAATTTAGACACAATCTGTGTAAAACATAAATAAGTTGACATTTTTGTCTTTTTTAGTGATATAAGCTTAAAACTCTCGTCTGGATTTAAAGATCTGCGCTTCTTCAAATCTCTACCATTTTAACACAACTGCATTTCCTCAGGCTGATAAAAAAAAAGGCTGGTTCTGTTCTGTTAAACCTCTGGAGACATTACAAACAATTTTTTTTTCAGAAAATCAAGAAAAAGATTGCATCCTCTTAATGAGACAGTATCTTCAGTCAGAGGCCTTGTCAAACTTACTGTAATACTGACTGCTGCAGGAGATTCTTCCTACTAATAGACATTAGCATCTACAGCAACTCTGTAAAGAAAACTGTGTTATATGTGTTACAACATTTAATTTGTTGGGTTGATAAAGTATTTTTGAACTGAATCGTATTTGACAATGTGTAAAAAAAATCTGTTTAAAAAAGAAACACCATGTGGTTCAACAGGGCTGCGAGAAAGCGAAAGAGAGCAAGACTTTCAGCAGATAACGGGACGGTTTTGCAGCAAGGCGCTCAGGTTTTATCCTCCTGACCTCTTTTAGCCTTGGGTTGTTCTGGAACGTGCTCAGCAGCTTCTTGGCAAAGTCAGAGTTGCAGTAACAAGTCTACATTCTCCATGCAGACACAGATGTTAGCCAGGTGAACCGCTAATAAATGACACTAAGATAACTGACATGATGTTACTTCTGCTGCTAGTATAAATATTGGACGACAACAGGAAGCTCCTATCTTGTATTCCAATCTTAAACCTTCAATTGGTCTTTGGGGAGAAATGTGACATTGTTGAGGATGAACTTGAATAAATAAAACAAACTCTAAAGAGCAAAACACAAATCTGGATCCACCCTGTAAACAGCTGAACCTGAAAACCTTCACAGCTCCAGCTTTACTCTGCAGGCGCTGGTTGACATTTCCATGCACTAAGCACCAGCAGCGTTTTGGATGTGGGTAAGATCCACTTTTACGCACAGATTTTTACGCCTGGCCCGTAAAAACTCCAAAAAATGGCTTTTTAAACGTGGTGAAATCCAACTTACTTGTCATATTCCGCGTTGTCCTTGTCGCACCGTGCGTCCTTGTGTTTCTGCCAGTCCTTCCCATGCTTGCAGGTGGTGAGCAGCACCACGTCCTCCCCGTTGTGGACGTGGTATAAGGCATTCCGCGTGTCCGAGCCAATCCCGGTCAGGTAGCGCTTTCCCTTAAACACCAGCATGTACTTTCTAAAAGGCGGGATGGAGTTGTACTTCAGGAAACCCCTCTCCCCTCCGGTCCGAGGGTGCTCCTTGGAGAAGAGCGGGATGGAAATGTCGAAGTTGGGCCTGAAGTTCTCCGAACCGATGCTCGCCTTGGCCAGCATGGCCTGGCCGATGTCAAAGCCCAGATCCTCCGTGTAGTCCGGCCAGGTTCCGGAGTACAGGTTAAAGATGAGGTGGTTCCTGCCGTCGTTCCACAAAGGCAGGCTCTGGACCTTCGTCTTCAGGTTGTGGACGTACTGAGGGGACAGCTGGTCCCGATCCAGAGTGTCCAGACTCAGGACGAACAGACATGCCTGTGCCGGGTCGGAAGTGTAGAACCTGGAGCCCTCGATGGTGGATAGGATGTTCTGGTAGCTCTCCGAGATCTTCTCCCCCTTCTGCTGGGGGTAAACATAAACTTTGAAGCCGTTCATCTGACACAGAGAGAAGTCGAAACAGGAATCCATGCGGCACCGCTTGCCTCTGTAAACGCTCCTGTTCACGTCCCGCTTCTGCGTCGGAGATATGTGCAGGTTGTAATCCTCGGTGTCCGTCTGATCCCAGGGCAGGAAGGCGTGTAAGGGGTCCGAGTAGTGGGGCCAGGGCTGCTCGGGCCGGTACCCGCTCCTGCTGCGGTCCTGCCGGCTCCTCCTGGCCGCTGGGAGCTCAACCCCTCCGAGGTAGAAGAGCAGCGCCAGGCACGCTCCGGCGGACAGCAGGATCAGGTAGCGTTTTTTGGCCTGCATGTGTCCCGGGAACAGAGGCGACTCGCTCAGGAATAACAAAGCTAAAGTGGCCCCAAGTTACGCTCTCACCAGCCCCGGCTGCATCGCTCCATCCCCAACCCCCCTTCTTCGTGTTGTGCTCCGAGATCCGGCGATTGATCCAGCGCATGTGGGCGATTTGTGCGCCGCTTGTGGAGTTTCACCACATCCAGCGACGCACCGACAAAGACCTGTCCCGAGCCTGTGCGCTGCGGCCGCTTCTCCTCATCCAGGCTGGAGCGCCAGCGGCCGGGGTCCCCGAGGCTCTCCCAGGCGGAAGGTTGGATGCTGAGCACCGGGTAGAATTAAAAAAGAAAAGAAAAAGAAGAATAAAGAAAGAAAGAAAGAATCCCCGGCGGTGTGAACGCCTCTTCGGCTGGATGTTGTCCTTTTAGCGCTCCATGGTTCCCGGTTTGGAAGAATCAAAAACACCGGGAGACGGTTCAGCGGTCCAACTGTAACCTGACAAATCCCTGCATTTCTCTGCCCATTTATCACCTCCGCTCATTCCCTCACAAATATCAAACCCACATGACCGGAGGAGAGCGGCGGAGCGGGCCGAGCTGTCCGGCCGAGCAGAGGGAAGCGAGCGGCAGTCTCGAACTGGAGGGAGACGCTGGGAAAACGGCAGGATTCCTCAGACCGAGTGTCCAATTACCGAGTGCTCAGTTGTTCCGATTGTTGCTCGCTAACATTCCAATCCCGACACGACGCCAGTTGACGTTACGTCCCACCGAGAGGAAGCGGCGCCGCTGATTGGTCCGTGTGCGGGAGCGGAAGGGGCGGGACTTGGAGGAAAACACCCATTCATAACCGGTGTAAATTATTATCTGAGTGTAACTTTATAATTAGGGGACGCAAAAGAAAGCGAGACACCGTCTCCTTTAAGGCGGAAATAAGTAATGGGTTCGTCTTTGTTTTGGTCTTTTAATGAACAATTGGGAGTTTATTTTCCGTCTTGTTCTCCTGTCTTATGGTTTCAATGCACCATAATGAGTCACAGGAAAGCAGATGAAACTTCTGCTTTTCATTTCTCCTGTTTATTTTGAAAGGAAAGGAGAAATATTTAGACCTTTATTCAGATTAAATCAGATAGCAACCACTTTCACCAACACTGCTGTATGAATTTTTGACATTTTCTGGCTTAAATAATATCCATAAAACTGTATTTGTAATTTTGACTCGCCAACATAATTTATAATAAAAAAAACATAAAAATTTCATTTAAAAAAATAACATTAAAAGGTTGACCCAGAACTGAGTTAAAAAGTTATAAAAAAATATAACACTTTTATTTTGAGTCAATGTAATGTAAAAACCTAAAAAAAATTTGGGGTGACTTCATAATTATGAAGTCACCCCAAAATTTACTAAAGACAGTAAAGCCAACTTTATTGAAGTTGTAGCAATAGCTTTTATTAAGTGTTTTGAACTTGACGTTTAAAGTTGATACAACTTTACTGAGCCAAAGCAACAAAGAAACTACACTGAGCCAAGTGTTTTTTTCACAGTGTACTGCATAATTTAAAGTGGCAGAGTGTTATTGGTTTATTTTACCAATAACAATTTGTATGTTTTGAATATACATCCTCTGATGGCACAAAATGTACTGAAGTTCCAGGTGTATAAATACCAGAGTTCATTTAAACTGGTACTAATATCTGTGTAATTTGCTTTTAAAGTAATTAACACTCTTATAAATAAAATATTTCCCCTCTGACCACATGGATGCCTCGCTGTTGCATTTATTATTATTATTAAAAAGATTTTTTTAGTTCTTACACTGTGCAAAACAAAAAATAAAAGGTACAGACAGTTAAAACCTCATAAAATTAACTTAGGTGCAAATTAAGCCAGAGATTTACAGTAAGATTAAGACTGTAAAACCCCTAGAAAGGGGATTAAAATAGAAATTACACTCCTCAGTTAAACATTTTAATTTTAAATTCAGTCATGGGAATAAAATAGTTTGAGTTTTAATGCCTTGTGAATTATTCCAAAATCAAGGTGCTCGATTCCTACCAATTTCTGGGACATGAGGCAAAGCAAATATGGCAGCAGTTTGCTAATTTAAAGTATCACAAATTTTTGGTTATTTATACTTTAAGGTTTACTGTAACAGAAATGTCCTCAGCTGGGATCAAATCATCCAGAAAAAAATGTTTAACCTGCCAAGAAGGAGTCAAGGTTTTTAATAAATATAATTTTTTTTTGAGAAATTCCAAAACTAAGCCTGAGGGATGCGATGTCATTCAGTTAATCATCCACTGAATGCCAAGTTTGTGCTAATAGCCCCTTTGGAAATCACCTTGCTGGTGGTAAAATATCATTTCTATCCATCAGTTGTCTTTGCTGTTTTCAATAGATTCAGTTACAGAACTGGGAACAAAACAGTAACACAGGCCTTTGTGCTGCATTTGCTCTCACCTGACTGCACACCAGTTCAACTGCTTTTACTTTCTAAAACAGAAATGAAGGATAAATCGACTGTATCAATAGATAATCAATAGATTAAGGAAGACAACCTGCTGAAGCTTAAAATGTAGGACTGGAGTAATACGGGATTATATTCTGTATCATTTTATAGATCTGATTATGTTTGTTGTAATTATGAAGTACTTTTGTGTACATTCAGTTAAAGTAGATGTATCAGTTGATATAAATTTATTTTTCAATGTTTTCTTTATATATGCTCAAACGTGTGTGTATGCGTGTGTGTGAAAAATAAACCTTAAAGTGGGACAAATGGGGAGGATTTTAGGCGACTGGTCAGAAACTGTCATCTTACTGGGATTTTTATGCACAACCAGGTCTCAGGTTTAAAAAGAATGATCTGAAAAAGAGAAAATATCCACTGAGTGAGCAGCTTGTTGAGGTGAAAGGTCAGAATGGTTACAATGGTATGCAGTGGACCCACACCTATTTGGGCTCAGTACTTGAGGAGCCACCTACTCCTGGATTTTTCTACATACCACAACTTCGAATGATTCATGGAAAACTTTCCTATTGGTGAATTTTTTTCCTGAACTATTATAAAGAAAATGAATGCTGAAATAATTAGGCATAATGCTAAGCTAATGGCTGGGTTTTACGAACCGACCAATCCACATCTGTTATTTATTTTCCTTGCTGCTGATTGGCTGAACGAGAGAGAATTCAAAGCTGCAGTATGTAACATTTATAAAAGTGTCACCATGTTTGTTGTGAGACAGTTAATCTGAAAATATCAATCTCCTCTCTGAGCTGCCATTTTGTCTGAAGAAGTGAACCAATCCCAACCAAAAACAACCAATTAGAGCCAGTGCTGTCAATCAACCTCATGCACTCACTGCTAAATGTGCTAGCGATAGAAAATCAACTTACCATTACAGAAAAGACATTTGTCTGCTGTCATCGGTGGCCATGCTAGCCAGACTGAACATTCATAACAGGCTATGCTAGCTGCAGCAACAATGTCACTTTATGTTTCAGGATTAGACACTAAAAAACACTCAAACATTTCCCACACAAAGAACAGAACATTCAGTCTGTTACAGTATTATGTTTATAGGCTTGATGTTTATTTTGCTTTTATTAATAAGTGATCTCTGTAGCAGATTAGCTACAGCTGCTATTAGCTAATCTCCCACTGCGGTGGTTGACTAGCTAATTTAAACACCTGCTCTATTAATAATATGTCAGAGTTGGTATGAGAGTCGCCTTTTTTACTTTTTAACCATATTTTTCATAAAAGTTACATCCAGTTGGTTTAAAATGGCTGATGCATCATGGACGATGCATCCATGATGATGTTTCATTTATTCATGTTTGAACTGAAAAGGATGCTACAGAGGAGGCACTCTATAAACAAACTAGAGGTTGCTCAACTCTTGTATTCACACAGTGATGTACTTCAGAGGAAAACTGGGACTTTTTATTAAGTCTGATTAATTTCTGACCCATTTGAATTTAACGCCTGGCTTTTTGTCAGGAGTAAGCCTCAGATCTCTAATCCATTATCCCAACAGGGAAGAAAAACCCCCAAAAACAAATGGCCAAATAAAAATTGATTTTATTGCTACATGATGTAACACTGATATCACCCAGACCTCAAGTCCTGTTAAATGAATGACATTGTTAATTTACACCAAGGCATTTAATGAGAACACATTACTGGGCTGAAGCTTCACCCGCTAACAAACCCGAGCGACGCGGTGGATGCGACCCTCTTGACTGGGAAACTAATAGCAGAGGAGTGTTGTTCGCCGAGTGTCACCATGCCTCATAAGCCAACATAATCCTCCTCGCTGCCATTTGGTGGCACAACACTCGGGGCTGGGTGAAGAGGCCATCCTCATTTTTTATCAGCCAATTAGCTCAGAAGAGAGGGGACTAATTAGCGGGGCTGGCTGGGAGGCAGGCCAGCATCCTGCGGTCGGCCAGCTCTCAACGTGGGAGCGTGCCGCTGATGGAGAGGCCTGGGTGTCGTTCCAGCGGGCTGCTCGCATCTCTGTGGCCGTTCTGTTGGATTCTTTGTTAAATAGTTTATATGTAGGAAGGGTTTGTCGACCGCCTGCAGCTGAATGTGTTCCCTAAATCATCCATCTGTTGCTGCTCCCGCACTCACAGTTTCTTCTTTCAGGAATCCTTCAGAGACCCTCCTGACTTTGTTTTTACCCAGAGGAGCTTTCACTTAATCAGGTAACTGGTTACATTTACTTGAGTAACTTTTTTGAAAAAAAAATTACTTTAAGGAGTATTTTTGCTAGACTGTACTTTATACTTTTACTTGAGTAATTTGATTATGACGTATTTTTGCTCTTACTTGATTCTGTACCCATTGAATGAAAGGCAAACACGTTTTAACCAAAAAGTAACAAGAGTCACAGACCTGCAGTTTTTGTTAAAGTTTTATATTCAGAGAAACTGATTAAGAAAGAAAAAAATTGTCTGATTTTGTTTGTTACTTTTATGAATTATTGTCAATTTAGTCCTTAAAATACCAAAATTTCAACTTTAACTTTACATTTTGGTCTGTCAAATGGATTAATTGTTAAATATTAAATGATTAATTCCATCAGTTACTCAGTACTTGAGTAGACTTTTTAGAAAATACTCTTCGTATTTGGTAAAAAGACACTAAACAGAGTAACTACTTTTACTTTAGTACATTTTTGCTCTTAGCTCCTTTTGATGAAACTAATGTCTGGGTGTTAAATGACCCTTGAAACCAGAGAATGTGGGTAATTTGAGTAGATGTGTTATTTTTAGATAGATTGGATTTTTTAAAATGGACTGGATTCGGTGGCTTTAGCAGACTATTGTGTTAACAGCCCTGCCATGAAAGGAACCATATACTCCTACTTTATCCAAGCTGTTTGGGAACATTTTGTGGCTGTGTGGTCTCAGATCGATGGTGCCGAGGACTGGGAATACGTCCAACGAGCTTTGCTGCTCTCCGCTCCCTCGTCCTTCCTCGTGTTTACTTCTAATATACCAACCGCAGAAAATAAAAATCCCCTCCTCCTCAGAACTGTCGGTGCTGAAATACGAGAGGACAAGAAAGCCTCTGCAGCTGTGAAACCTTAGAAGCTGGACAAAGCAACACATGTCAAACATCCTGCTTTTTAATCTGCACAGATGAAAAAAAAGGAGACTTGGAAGAGAGGAATGCATCCCGTTGGCGTCGATTCTTCCCATCAGGAAAATAAAATCCTCATGTTGGGTTTGTT